TGCAACCACGGAGTATTGAACTACCAAGATACTTAATTGCTATGTCACGCATGGCTGCAAAAATTTAGACATTATATTAATAATACATAAAGTACACTTCAAAGAAGCAGAAATATGAAATCAAGAAACTCTGGCCATGTCCATGGGAGCGAAAATTTTAGACATAGATAGTAAATTTATGTACAGTGGAACCTTTTTATGACGACTTCCTCGGTATAAGGACGATATTCTTTACCCCAGTAATAGTAAAAATATATGAAACAATGAACCACCTGCTGGAAAAAGTTTCAAAGACCTTATAAAACAAGGAAGCGCCATAGTTAAACCTCATTCTATTTAGTTACAGACTATAGAGAGGAGAAGACATCTGGTTCAAAGGTTTGGTAAGTCTTTGAAAAGAGTAAGAAAGCTCGTTTAGAATAAGTCTATTAGAGACTATTTTAACTTTGAAAACTGCTCATGTTGGAATAGAGATATTCTGGATATTGGCCATTGGGCTTTTTTGCTGAAAAGTTTTTCCTTTAAAGGGAGAAAAAAATTCAATTATGAAAGCGCTTGAGTTGAAAAGTTTCAAAATCTTTTCATAATTTTTTGTTTGAGACCGTGGAGTATAGCTATGGGGGATTTTAAAACTGACTCGCGGTGGCGGGCATAACTATTGTCCGTCGGACTACCGCAAATTAAAGTTTACCGGCTCACACTAAAGAACGGTCATACACCCGAAACGTCTGGTTTTCTATCTTTTTCTCATACCCCCACCGTGGTACAAGGAGGCGAGGAGGGTGGATGGAACCCCTCCCCGGAGTTTTAGATATGTTGCAGTATTTTTAAGTGGAAAGCCTTTGATCTCCTTAACAAGATGAGGTATATTTTACGGGTGGTGGTGCTGCTGGAGGCCTGTGATGTCACCAACAATAGTCGCTATCTTGGCCGCCATCTTGGATTTTACCAAGAATTAGAGATCAGGTTAAAACCTCGAGAAATGGTAATTTTTTGTGCTTTACATGAACAATAACACATAAATAAGCACTCTGCATGATTTTAGCCACACGATTTACTTTTATTGTTGAAAAAAGTTGAAAAAACATGTACTTTCACTCAAAAATGGCTTGACCTCCTGCTACTTATGACGTCATATCTTGTAACCATAGCAACTGACCATTACTGATCTTGACTCAGAACGTGCGCGAGGGACGAACGAACAGCTACTGAAAACGTCAGGTGCTTATGTTTCATCCTCTAGGAAAAAAACTCCGAAAAACCATGCCATCCCCCCTCCTTGTACGTCCGACGGTTAAGAGACTTTTTGATATTTTTTATGGAATATCACCTACAGCATCAGCTGCAAAGTTTACCTTCTGACTTGAAAAGTTAAATGGCCGTAAAACGGTCAAAATTTTAATAGTTGGACGTATGAAATGGCAAAACGGTTAATCCATTCAAACTAAAAAATGGTAGAAACGTTAATCGTGAAAAAAATCTTACTAACATTTTTCCAGTGAGAAAGTTTCGAGATCACAGTCTCCGTCTCGTGGCTATTTAAGCCAGCCTTTTTCTGAAGTATTTAGAGACTATAAACAAAGCTGAAAAAAGTGTGTTTTTGTGTGTTTTCTTACGACCTTAAACACTGCTGTAAATACCTGCAGAGATATTAATAAAAATATGAAAGTCGTTAATTTTGGCCTGATTTGTAAGCGAAGACAATGAGTTAAAGAAATTAGCAAATTAATTATGGCCGTAAATTTTATGCCTCCGCCCCTTTGGGACGTTATGCTTCGTAAAATTGTGCTTAAAAACCCTAGTAAGCTCTTACTCATGACATATTTCTTTCAACAAGTGCAATTCAATTTTTCTCGCTGCTTGTCAACGTTTTTTAAGAGTCTGTTTAGGCATTGAACCGTATTCAGGAGAAATGAACTCTTAGCCTTATAAAAGCCAAAACTGATATTTGAGAGATCATTTGTAAGTAGGGGCGATACGCAGATCATACACCTCTTTCTTAATGGCGGCCTACTAATTGCCAACGAGCCATCCGAGCGAAGACGCGAGGAGAGTGTGTTCGAGTTTGGATTCGAGTTCGAGTTCGAGTTGGACTTCGAGTTAGACTTCGCACATCGAGTCAAAGTTCGAGTTATTTTAAGGTGGCTCGATACAGTTTTCCAGGGCCAATACCTCCCAAGTTTGAGTATAAAACTTGTCGCCATAAACAAAGTTTTGGACAAATTGCCACGACAGTTGTGTTAGATAAAGATGAAAATTTGTTATGATCAAGGTTGCAGCGGCATCGGAGTTGTCATAGATACGAAATGACGCTATTACCTATTTTACTTGCAGCAATATATCTCGGCACTGGGAACTGTTCTTCGAAAATCATTCATGGGAGCTTTTTCCTCCAATAGCAGCCTCGATGTTCGTGAAGTTTAAGCGAAATCTGTAAGAGCGTTATCGAGATATTTGCGAAAAAGATTTTGTGGTTAGAAATACGGTAAAAAATGGACAA